CAAGGCAAATTGAAAATCACTGGCAACATGGGTCTGGCTATGAAGTTACAAAATCTTCAGCTTCAGCCAGGCAAAGCTAAGCTGTGAAGAACTCCCTTTGATTACTTTTGAAAATCAAGATGAGATATATAGATTTATATCCATCTATTTCATTGTCAGAATTTAGACTAAGACTACACATTGGCAAATAGTGTGGAATAGATTTGTTTTTAAATGGGTGTGACCAATCCTATTTTTCCTAGGCTCTGGGTGAATAGAGCCTGTTGGTATACTACTGCTTTGCTGAATTGCATACAACTGTGCATTACAAAGTTAATACAGTTATTATGGTCTGGGGAAAATTGAGTTTCAGAATAAAATTAGGAGCAGTCAAATCCTAAAGCCTATGTAAACAAAAAAGCTTTGTTTTGCTTACAAAGTATATTTAGGGATTATTCTGCTGAAGATTCAATTTAAGAGTTTTCCTTGGGAGAACTAAGAAACACAGTACCAATAGCTGACAGTAATTAGTGTTGTGCACTTAATGTCCTTAATCAATTTCTCATTAATAGTTCTTAAAATTAGTGAGATTAAAAAAATCTAAAAATTTTGCATTTCATGCCATCAGAAACAGTATTTTCTTCCTGAATTAAAATAAAAGAAATATGATCAGAGCTTGAATACAGGCTTATTTTTAAAATAAAAATATTTTTAAATGGGTTTCCTTCTTGAAAAATCAGTGTATTAGTCATAAAACACTATCGTTAAGAATAATTGAACAATAAAGTTTGCTTTGAGATGCACAGTTTTCAAATTATAATTTCATATTTAAATATATAAAGTTCTTAGTCCTTTGTTGTAATTTGCATTTTTCATATAAGTTTAATTATCACGATTTATCTTTTTGCCTAGTTTTTCTAATAATGTTATTTCTTACAATTCAGTGAGATATGGGATAAAATAATGCTTTTGGAAGAATGTTTAATAGAAAATTAAAATAGCTTTTTCTGGTCTCTCTTGTTTTTATTGTGCACTTTTTGCTCAGGGTTCTCTAGATAATGCAGAATAAAGGGAAACATTAGGAGATTTAGAAACAATGTTATCCTGGCATAATCACTAGTTTTTGATTGGGGAGGCAGTGTGGTATGATAGAAAGAGTACTTGACTAGGAGCCTGGAGACTTGCTTCTTTTAGGCAAATAACTGCCTGCCTGGACCTGTTTGCTAAACTGTTAGGAGATTTAAGTAGAAGGTCCCAAAGGTCCCTTTTGCTCAGAATCCTGAATCTCCTCAGAGCCCAGTAGAATGGTTTGGGAATTATCGAGGCCTCACCTTTCTTTGTTAACTCATTACTTTACCCAAAGGTGCTCAGAGGTAGAAAACCAGCTGGTTTCATTAGTTTAGGTGTTTGGAGCCCTTGCTAAGATAGTCAGGACTACGGATCAGAGTTCCTAAGACCATTTAGCTTTGCATGTTCTATGACCAGTAGAAAAGCATTTGGTGATACGGCAAGAGGTTACATTAAGCCAATAGAAGTTGATTTCAAGTTCTGTAAAATGAATTCAGAACACAGACCTACTTCCTAATCATCGTAGCTTCTTACTCTGAGAAGACAAAGACTTCAAGAAAAGAGTTTCAACAAAATGTCTCATTTATCTGTAGTTTGCATTTGCTGCATCATTCTGTTCTCACTTATCCCAGATAACAAGAGATTCCTGACACAGGCTTTAAGGTGAACCTAAAAAACGAAAAGGAAAAAGCAAAACTGGTTCCTATATGATGGTAGAAATATGTTCCTATATGATGTGATTTATGTACATAATAGAAAAGTACTTTGTGATAAAATAGGTTTTTTTTTTTTTACCCCTTATGATATTGTGGTTAGGAGGAAAGAGATTAACTTTTAATTTCAGTTAAAACTACTGTTACTAGTGCTACTTGAACAGGTTAAGTCTCAGTGGCCTGACTGATAAAGTGGAGATACTGATGTCGCTTCCTAGGATTATGAGAATCTAGAGAGATAACATACGTAAAGTACCTACAGCAGTGCTAGTTCAGGGTAGTCATTCAGTAAATGTGACTTCCCTTGCTCTTCTCATCCTTAGCCGCACCACTTGCTCCCGTGATATGTGATAATGATGTTTGTAGTGTTATGTCCCACTTTTGGAGTCTTTCATTTGTTCATTTAATGAGTATTTATTGAGTGCCTACCATGTATAGGTTACTATGTAGAAAGTATAGTCCCACTGGAGGTACTAGTGAGCTCTTCTTCTCAAGGTGCTTACGTTCTAATGGGGAGACAGTCAGTCAAAGAGACGATTATTATAGACTATGAAGTGCCGAGCAGGAAATGGTTAGGGTGCTGTAAGAAGGAGTTAGTGAGGAACCTTGATAAAGTAGTTAAAAGAGATGTCTTTGAGGAAATAATTTTTAAGCTGAGATCTGAAGGTTAAGAGGGAACAAACCATGCAAAGAACATTGCAGCAAAGGGTGGAAACAGGCTTGACTTGTTCTGAAAACTGCAAGGGGGCCAGTGCGAGTGGAATAGTGAGCAGGAAGAGCAGGCCCAAGATAAGGTTGGATAGATACACAGAGGCCAGTTTTATTGTGATTTGTTCATTCTGGTAAGGCTTTTTTTGTATTTCATTCTTAGTGAAGTCAGGAGCTGTTGACAATATAGCTTTATAGATGTTTGTTTCTTACTTAGGCTATATATTCATCTTGCCATCATATCCTAGGGCTGGAACTCAGACTAATGGAGTAGCCACTACCTGGAGCATCATGACTGTCAGGGCAGATGAAGAGAAAAAGGTGAAGTGCATGTTGGCTCTTAAAGCTTCTGCCTGAAGTGATACATACCACTTTTGCTCCCAATTCCTTAACCTAAGAAAGTCACACACCCCACCTAACTTCAGAAGACCTATCATGTGCCAGAAGGAGAAAGTAAGAGTGGGAATATTTGTGAAGAGAAATATTCTGATGACCACCAGAAGGGCTACAGACGGGAATGAAATAATTTAAACTGTCGCTATAGCTGCTGTGTGGAAAATGTACTGGTGCAGAGGGCTGGAGAGTGGATGTCCAGGTGCTAGAAGATGGTGTCCTGGTCTAGGGTGTCAGTAGTAGAGACAGAGGTGGAAAAACAGGCAGAGGTGGAGCTGACGGAACTTGGTAACTGGATGTGGGGGCAAGAATGACTCCTAGTGACAGGCCAGCTGAATGGCTGATTGTGACTGGACTGGCAGTAAGACAAGGAGGTTTCAGGGGGAGTAGTTGAAATAAGTTCTGCTTCCCAAATTTTAACTTGGAGATGGCTGAGAAATTTGCAAACAGAGATATTGAGGAGACAGTTGGATTTGATGAGCTTAGAGGTGAGGTCATCTTGGAGATACACACTTGGAAGTAATGAATATATGGGTTGAATTTAAAGCTACAGAAATGGAGATTACCTGGGTTAGGGAAAAGGAAGGTTGGGGTAATCCTTGAGGAACTTTGGCTTTTTGAGATCTTGTAGAGGAAAACAAAGGCCCAGAGAGGTAAAGGGAGAACTCCAAGAAGAGAGTATGGCCAAAATGGGAATGGTTAACTATGTTGCTTGATTAGTGAGGTCAAGTAGGATGATCTCTGAAAAGTGTCTACTGGATTAAACTTGGCAACATGAAAATCACTGGTGACCACCGCAAAATCAGTTTCAAAAAAAAAGAAAAAGAAAAAGAAGTCAGTGGAGTAGTAGGGGTAAAAGCTATATTGGAATTGGTTTCATAAAGTTCTATGAAAAATAGGAACCGAAGAGTTCCATTTGATAGTGATAGGCTCAGTTTCCAAGTGATGAATATACAGCAAGCACATTAGCTAATACTTACAGGTCTAAGCTAGGTCGCCTTGCACATGTGTTCTCTGTGCCCAGCCTCCATTATCTTCCTCCCTGCTCTTGCCTCCACCACACAGTCCACTTGGTAAATTCCTCATCATCCTTCAAGACCTGCTCAGGTACCTTCACTTTCAGGAAGCGGTCCCCATTTGTTATGTAGAGATAATCATTCCTTCCTGGTCATTTGTTACTGTCTCCTACCCAATAGAGAGGTCCTTAAAGGAAAGGACTGCCTCTCGTGCATCCATTTTTGAGACTTCCAGCATCGTCTTGGCTTACTGCTAAATGAGTGAAGGAGATAGGCAAATAACACTTTTATATTCACAGAGGGAGCATTTCTGAGGATGAGAGCCTACTCACAGAATTGCATTCTCTATTACGAAGACTTTTTGTAGCCCTTATGATGAAAGAGAACATTAAAAATTTTCCCTTAGCCTAACTTTTCCTAATTTTTCTTTGAAAATATTGGCAGCTTCCCATAACAATCTTTCAACTTCAGACAAAAATTGCAAGTAGTCAGAAAAATCTGTTTATTAATTATTTTATTTTATTTTATTTTGAGACGGAGTTTCACTCTTATTGCCCAGGCTGGAGTGCAATGGCTCGATCTCTGCCCACCACAACCTCCGCCTCCCAGTTCAAGTGATTCTCCTGCTTCAGTCTCCCGAGTAGCTAGGATTACAGGCATGTGTCACCACGTCCAGTTAATTTTTTGTATTTTTAATAGAGATGGGGTTTCTCCATGTTGTTCAGGCTGATCTCCAATTCCCAACCTCAGGTAATCTGCCTGCCTCATCTTCCCAAAGTGTTGGGATTACAGGCGTGAGCCACTGAGCCCTGACCTTATGTTTTAAAAACAGTGGGCTGGGCCAGGTGGCTCACACCTGTGACCTAGCACTTTGGGAGGCTGAGGGGGTAGATCACCTGAGGTTAGGAGTTTAAGACCAGTCATGCCAACATGGGGAAACCCCATCTCTATTAAAAATACAAAAAATTAACTGGACGTGGTGACACATGCCTGTAATCCTAGCTACTTGGGAGGCTGAGGCAGGAGAATCTTTTTTTTTTTTTTTTTCCCTCGGTTCTGTGAGGAATTAATTTTTATTTTATTCTTTTTTTTTTTTTTTTTTTTTTTTTTGAGACAGTTTCGCTTTTGTTACCCAGGCTGGAGTGCAGTGGTGCGATCTCGGCTCATCACAACCTCCGCCTCCTGGGTTCAAGCAATTCTTCTGCCTCAGCCTCCCGAGTAGCTGGGACTATAGGCTTGTGCCACCATGCCCAGCTAATTTTTGCATTTTTTTTTTTTTTTTTTAGTAGAGACAGGGTTTCACCATGTTGACCAGGATGGTCTCAATCTCTTGACCTCGTGATCCACCTGCCTCAGCCTCCCAAAGTGCTGGGATTATAGGCATGAGCCACCTCACCCGGCCATCTCTTAAACCTGAGAGGTGGAGGTTGCAGTGAGCCGAGAATGCACCATTGTATTCCAGCGTGGGCGATGGAGCTCCGTCTCAAACAACAAAACAAAACAAAAAAACAGTGAAATTGGGCATGGTGGTGCATGCCTGTAATCCCAGCACTTTGGGAAGGTTAGGTGGGCAGATCACATGAAGCCAGGAGTTCAAGACCAGTCTGGCCAACATGGTGAAACCCTGTCTCTACTAAAAATTCAAAAGTTAGCCAGGTATGGTGTCACACACCTCTAATCCCAGCTACTTGGGAGGCTGAGTCATGAGAATCACTTGAGCCAGGAAATTACTGCTTCTGCACTCCAGCCTGGGTGACAGAGTGAGACCCTGTCTCAAAATAAATAAAAAGTTGCAGAGTAGGTTATTTGTGGATTGAAAGCATAAGTCTTGTTGCTGTACTTTTTCAGATGCATTCACAATCTCAGATTTCTACAATTTTTGTTGGATGTGTAGAGGAAAAATAAGGGAAAGCATGGCTAGCATGTCAAGTCCATGTAGAGGTGGGGGTATGAAAAAGGAGTCACTTTGTCATAGAAAAAATACAGAAAGAGAAATTTCAGATTGAATACCATTGAATTTCCAGACAATAAAAATCGGTCATGAGTGGATTAGAGGCTCCAACCACAGTCATATTTCTAGACCCAGCTGGCAAAAACAGGGCATTTCACTGTGGGAGATGTACTTTGAGTGGCTGAAAGATACCTGAACAGGTGAAAGTGGTATTTCATTGCAGCCACTCTGAGGATTTCTCCTTTCACAGTTGATCAAATCTTTTTTTCTTCTATATGCTACAAAGAGGACTTGAGGTCTTTTTGCTTACTTGTTTATACCCTGACTGAGTAGATGCTGCCTACCATTATTTGAGGAATTTTTTTAACATGAAGAAATTTATTCATTGGAACATTTTGTGATAATTTTTGAGTTCACATAATCAGCTGGCTTCAGAATGAGGACAATTTGCTTTTATTAACTGTTTACGTCCTTATGTTTTCATCAAGAACCATTAAAATTTAATGGTCTCTATACTTAAGTGAATGGACGTAGAATTATTTAGTTTGACTTTCAGAAGGCTTGCATTTTAGTCAAAGACTAAATTCTAGCTGCCCATGCCATGATTGCTTTTTGAACACAGAGAAGTTACTTGATGTTATTGACTAGAAAAAAAAAAAAAAAAAAAAAAAATGGTGCAGCCAGATTGCACCTCTGGGCAAATTACCCTGTGGGATTCAGTTTGTTTAGAGACCATACTGATAGGAATGAGGAATGTTGGGTATGGTACTAACATCTAATGAGGGGCCTGAAAGATTTATGAGCTATTAGGAATTATAGCCACATCTGGCCAAACTGTAGAGTTTTTCTCAAAAGAGAGTTACAAAATCTTCTGGAACAGTCTAGCATCATATCTATCTGGAGACTGCTGCAAACAAATAGCTCTTTAGTTCTTGGTAAGAACAAAGAATATTGGGCCAGATTTCTGGCCCTTAAGAAATGTGGAGTCTGATTCCATTTGGCTGGAAGTTTAATTTGGTATGGAATTTTAGCCAGACTTCTAGGGGAAATATTTTTCAAAAATATAACCAAAACTTACTGCAAAAAGTGATGTGCATTTGGTCTATTTATTAAAAGTCATTTAAACACTTTGTAAATATTCACAGTCCTGTTTCCAGCAGCATGTAGTGCTTGATCTATTTGTTTCTGAATTTGTGGCCATAAACCTTTATGTAGAATTGGGGGAAACTGATTGTAGTCTGCTGTTTATTTAAATTGTAGGTAGTTGACTAACCAACTACCAAACAGTGATTTTTTTTCTTTCTCTGGAAGTTATTGTGTAATTCGCCTTTTGGAATATGGCACCTTCTGTTGTGTACAGAGCACTCTACCACTCTAGACACTTCACTGGAACAGAAATAGAAAATAATTTGATATGAAGGCACAGTAGTATAGGAACAATTGACTTACGCAGGCTGAAAGAAGCCTTAAGCTTGGCAAAATGATACTCCAAATGCAGGGTGTGATATCAGTTTATGAGTATTTGAGAGATGGAAAGACCAAAGAGGGAAAGGAATTATTTTGCTTAGTTATTAGAAGTAAGGGGAAAAAATATAGAAAAAGAAATTTCAGACTGAATACTATTGAATTTCCAGACAATAAAAATCAGTCATGAGTGGACTAGAAGCTCCAACCACAGAGATGTTTCTCGACTCAGCTGGCAAAAACAGGGCATTTCATTCTGGGAGATGTACCTTAATAGTGGCTGAAAGATCATCTGAACAGGAGAAAGTGGTATTTCATTGACAGCCACTCTTGAGAATTTCTCCTTTTGCAGTTGATCAAAGCCTTTTCTTCTATATGCTACAAAGAGGACTTGAGGTCTTTTTGCTTGTTTCTACCCTGACTGATTCATAACTTACTTTGGAAGAAACATGGCATACCTTTGGAAGAAACCATTTTCCAAAGAAATGAGTATTCAAAAGCTTCAAGTTTTTGTAGTATGAAAGCAGTCTGAGGTTTTTTTTTTTTTTTTTTTTTTTCCATCCATTTTTATTTACCTTAAGCTAGTTAGCTGGCTACAGTGTGGGAGACAACTCTTACTGGAGTTAGAACCTGAAGACTGAGTTTGAATTCTGACCCAAGCACTCATTAGCTGAGTCACCTGAGCAGGTTGCAAATCCTCCCTGAGCATCCCTTTTCCAAAATGAGTGGCAATAATATCATGCTTGCTGTGAAGATCAAGTGAAACAGTGTGTGGGAAAGTGCTGCGCCAGTTTTAGTTATTAATGTTTGTATTCGTTTGCTATCGTTGCTGAAACAAATGATCATAAAGTAGTGATCACAAATTTATATCTCACAGTTCTGTAACCTAGAAGTCTGCTTGGGTTTGACTGGTTTCTTTGCTCTGGGTCTCACAAGGCTGAAGTTGAGATGTTTCCGCCCTGGTTTTCTATCTGGAGGCTCCCACGTTCATTCAGATCCTGGGAAAATTCAGTTTCATGCAGCTTGTAGGACTGAAGTCCCTGTTCCCTTCCTGGCAGCCTAGGGGTGTTTCACCTTCTGGAGGCTGCCTTATTCCTAGCTTATGACCCCCTTCCTCTTTAAAGTTAGTCAAGTCCTTCTCATGTTTCAGATCTCTCTGACCTCTTCTGCTTCATTTTCCCTCTCTCCAGCTAGAGAAAGTTCTCTGTTTTGTGGGGCTCATGTGATTAGATTAGGCCCACCAAGATAATCCAGAATAAACTCCCTATTTTGAAGTCCATAACCTTAATTACATCTGCAAAGTCCCTTTCATCATATAATATATTCAAAGGTTTTAGGGATTAAGGTATGGATATCTTTGGTGAGGGGGGGCATTCTGCCTATCACAGTGGTATTTTAGGGTGAGAGAGGGGAGCTTACAGAACATGAGATTCTTGCCCTGGAGGACTCACAATCCAGTGGAAGAAGGAGGAAAAACACAATACAGCAAGAATACTCTGTATTAATACAGATTAAGACTCTGTATTAATAAAGAGTCTGTACGAGATGTTGTAGGAGCCCAGGAGACTCCTGTGTACTTGACTGAAGACTCCTTGTGTACTTGACCTGGAGGTTTTTTTCATTATTCTCTTCTTGTTCCCTAATGAGTCTTGCCTTTCATCAAGATCTTTCAGATGGAATTCATATGCCCCAAACACCACCATGTAATTTGATTCCTTAACTGTCCAGAAAATCAAGCTGCTGCTGTAGCTCAGTATTTGGGACTCTACTGCTTAATAAGGTCTTCAGCCCACAGCTCAAGGTAGGAGGAACTATTTTCTTTGACGATGAGGTATAACAAGAGCTCATTGCTCCTCGCCTTCTGTTTTTCATCATCAAACCCCTCCAAGAGCCTTCTTGTTCTTTACTCCCAGCTCTCTCTACTGTATGTATGTCTTTCCTTCCTCCTCTTTGGAATGTTCTTGTTTCTTATTGTTTTGAATTAGAAGGCACTTGTCCTGGGCAGTGCAGAGGTTTCTGTTTAATTCTTGCCACTTGTCATTTCTAGTTTAATAATGTTTCCTGGCTATTTGGTCAGGTCCGGGTGATATAGTTTTGTAGTAATAGCTACCATTTACTGAGCACTTACCATGTGCCAGGTATTGTGTATAGTTCTGTACTTGCATTTTCCAGTTTGGACACACTGTGAGGTGTAGGTACTATTTTTCTATTTATTTGAACCTAGCTAGGATTTGAAGCCAGCTCCAACTTTAAAGCTTGTACTTGACACTGTGTAGTTCAGTAATATCAAACAGGAGCTGAAATGGAGGAGCAGCATGAAGGAGCTGAAGCAGCACAGGTAGATTCAGGAAACCTCAATTTTAGACTCTGCCTTTACAATCCTTCTGAAAGAGGATTTGCTTCCAGAGCACTAAGATTGCCTCCATTTTTCCACCAGAGACACTTAAAGTGATTCCTCCTGCAGCTGTGCGAGGAATAGCACATATGGGCACTGGCTGAGCGTTCCACAGAAGAGCCTGTTTCTCTGGGAGGTGGTGGGGACTGGGTGTATGGTGTGCATGTAGCTGGCCCCTGAAACACCCTGGCCCTAGCAGTTATAGAGAGTATCTTCCCCACAAGGTTAGTATGATTAAGATATTTTAAGGATTTAGGATGGTGCCTGTCACTTATTAGGCACTCAATATGCTCTGGCTCTCATTTTCCTAGAAGGGTTTTAGTTCGTGGGTATTCAAGTTAGTAGAATCCTGTCCTTTTAGCTCTGCTTGAATCTAGGCTCAATATTCAGGAGAAGACATGAGATGCATCTCGTGTTGGTCCAGGTCCAATGCTGTGAATCATACCAACTCTTGTTAACTTTGAGCTCTGAAAGGACTGGAATTTGAGGCCAAAGAAGGCAAAATATTTTCCCTCCCTATTCTTGCTAAGTTCTTGAGTTATTGGCATAATGGAAACAGAAAGTCCTAGGTTCAAATCTGGCTCTACATTTGCCTGCTCAAGTTACCTGCCTGTTTGCACCATGGGAGGAACTTGGGCTGTGGAGAAGGGTAAACCTGGGCTCAAAACCCCAGCTCTGCAAGTTAATGGCCATTTTACTCAGTCACGTTTCGTTTCTGAGGCTCTTTTCTATAAAGTGAGGCAGCAGCAGTTCTTCCTTTGCAGAGTTGTGAAGGCAGGGCATAACACGTGGTATAACCAGGCTGCCATGGGGGTGCAGCCAGTGAAAGGTCTGGAGCTGCTTTACAGGGGCCATTCATTCATTCAGGTTTAGGTTGAGCAAGGGGGCCCACCTGTGACTTATATCCTTCTCCCTCTCCAGTGGAAGGGGGCCAGGTGAGGCAGCTGTGGGTACCCTGCCCACAGCCAGAGCAGGTAAGGGGAAGAGGCCTGCTACACAGTGGAAGTGCCAAGTACCACCTAAGCCCAGCCCCATTCCCTGTTCCACCGCCGAAGCCCCTGGCGCCAAACAGTGTTGCTTCAGCTGGTAGTAGTTAATGCTCCTTTACTTGGAAACATTTTCAGCTCCTGGGAGCAATATGGTGGCGTGAGGGCTCACTGTTCACCCGCCCTGTTTCTCTGTTACTGGGATCTGCATGCCCCCGACTCCAGCCCAATTTACCATTCTTCAAGGCTCACCAGGCTGTGGGCCCAGGGCCAAGAGGGATGGGAGTGGAGGGTGGGGTGGAGCGTGGGGAACTTTTCCGGGAAGAGGCCCAGCAGGGTCTTGGCTGACGGCGCCGTTAGCCACGGCCCAGGACCCCAGGGTCCGGGAGTGAACGGAAAGGTACTCGTGCCTGGAGCGGTTGCAACATCCTCCGTAATGAGGAAGATACAGCTCAGAGGCACTGGGTGGAAGGACCCCTCTTCCTGGCTTTCTTTTCAGGTGTCGGGGCCTAAAGGGGGTCCATTTCCAGTGCGGAAGGCTGGGAACTAGGAAGCGTCGCGGACCAGACAGCCCGCCTTCCCGGACTCCCGGGTGGGGGTTCGGGGGCGTGGTGCGGCTGCCGAGGCTCAGAGGGGTCGGTGCGGCGGCTCTGCCTCCCGGGAAGTGGGGCCCGGCCAAGTCCCGCGCTGGGATAGGGCAGGCCCTCTCCTGCCCGAGCCTGGGGGGACCCTACGCCTATGTCCGGAGGAGGCCGGCGTCCAGCAGATGCTCGCGGGGGGGGGGGGGGGAAGTGGGGGAGGGGGCGGGAGGGAGGCGGGGAGGAGAAAACCCACAACAAAACTTGCGTCGCTGAGCGCCCTGCTTGACTTGAATGGAAGGAGACCGAGCCCGCGGAGCGCAGCTGAGACTGGGGGAGCGCGTTCGGCCTGCGGGGCGCGGCACGGCGCCGGGGTGCTGCAGGTACAGGGCGCAGGCGACTGGGGTGGGCCGAGGGGCGGGGGGCTGAGACCGGGCAGCGCTCTCAGACTTCCCCACCTCTCCGGATGGCTCCAGCAGCTGCCTGGGGCGGGGCCGCCGCATCTCACCAGCTCCATAGGATCCTGCACTGAAGGCACAGCCGTAGATCTCCTCCTCTGGGGTGCGACCCCAGCGCAGTCACGACCCAGGCAGGGGCCTTCTCCTCTGAGCGGAGGCTGGTCCCCGTCCCCAGGCCCCTCCCGCTGCGCACATCTGGAAAGAATCTGAGGGCGGATGGGGGCGGGGGCAGGAGTAGGAGGACGCCGCTGGCGACAGGGAATGTGGGGGGCAGGTGGAACTGTGCAGGGGCGGGGACCCCCGTCAAGAGTGCTCGGACCCGGAGTATCTCCGCGTCTTTCCACGTCAACTCATCCGGCCCCCTAGCGAGTCCAGCCTCCGACCTCTTTACAGATAGAGAAACTGAGGCCCGGAGAGGGGCAGAAGTTTGCCCTCGGGGCGCGTCGCGGCTGCCGAGTCCCCTCCGGGGCTCGGCTTCCCGGGCAGCAGTGCCGCCCCAGCTTAGCTCCAACCACTAGTTGAGCCAAAGCTTTCAGCTGGCGGCCTGGAGTCCGTCTGTCTGTCTACGCGGCTGCTTCCCAGCCGGGACAACTGGACAGAGGAGGGGGTGGGGGTCCTCGAACCACGGGGAGCGAGGTCAGCGCCTGTCTGCGAATGCAGCGGAAGCCTCAGGTTGCAGGTCCCCGAGTCACAGCCCGGCCAGGGGCAGCGGACGAGATCGTGGCGTTGAATACCTGACGCGCCGTCAGGTGGAAGAAGTGGTGGCGGGGTGGCGAGGCTGCTGGCAGCCTCGGGGCTGGGGCTAGGAGAGGCAGCCGCAGCCCTCTGGAAAGGAGCCGGCGCGGCCGCAAGGGGCGAGCGCCCTGGCCCGGGTGCGCGCATCACTGACCCTGTCCGGGAGGCGCGGAGGATGCGCGCCCAGCGCTTCGAGTGAATTTACTGACCTGTCGGGCCCACACAACCTGAGCTTCGAAGTCAGCCCTTGGAATACCGGCTGGCTAGGGAAGGGGAAGCTGTGGTCTACCCTGCTCCAAGAGGCACCACCACTGGTGTGAACCGGGAGAACCCCTGGTGTTCCTGTCCCCTATCCCTCCCTTATATAAAGCTTCCACACTGGTAAGGCAGCGGCGAGCCAGGAGGGCTCATGGTGAGCAAGGAGGCCAGCCGGTCTGCAGGCGAACCGCGCTGCAGGGTAGGTCACTCAGAAGAGCCTGTGGACAGCCCTGGGAAAGACCAGCGGGGACTGGTCTGGGAGTTCTGCTTCCACATGTCCACTCTAAGGGCCCAGGACCCTGTCTCCTCTAGCCTAGAGGGCAAGTTAAGAAGTGTCAGAGTCATATGACTGTGTTCATATCATCTGTGGGAGCATACTTTATCCCTTCTGCCTGAGTCTAGGGGAGGGGATTACTCATGGTGGCACTTTTTAGGCTTGGTGGAATCATACATGACAGTACTGACTGTGACCTGCTTGGAACTCTCAATGAGTCCCTGTCATCAACACTAGCATGTCGGTGGATGCCCTTGGCCATCTAGGCCTCCCACCCTGTTGACCCTTCCTTAAACAAACCTCCCTCTCCCCCAGCCCCACCCCTGCCTTTTGATCACACCCTACCTCTGCCTGGAGGGCTATTTCTCCCTCTTTGTCCATTTGGAGAACTCCTGCTCAGTCTTCAAGACCAACTCAAGGCTCTGGGCAGGCTTTTCCTCTTGGCCTTGCCTTTCACACACTAATCTACAAACTGGAGGAGTCAGAGCAGATCATATTGCAGATCTTTAGATCTTTACGAGCTCTGCCTTTCATATTCATTCAGCAAACTTTTCCTGAGCACCCACTCCATGCTTGGGGAGACAGGCAGGTTCTGCTGAGCCTTGAAGGATAAAGCTGGGCAAGGTTGCTGTGGAAGCACCCAGAAACACCCTAACCCAGCCAAGGGGGAGGAGAGTCTTCCCTGAGCAGGGGCATTTGAGTAGGAGCTTTCTGGGGATGGCAGCAATGCCAGCCCTTTGTGCTTGAGCTCCAAATCTGCAAAACAGGAAGACGAACACTTAGTCCCAGGATTTCTATGACAGTCAATAAGATGCAGCTGTTTGGGGCCCAGCACAGAGCAGGTGCTCAGTTGGTTTGCGCTGAGTTTGAGTGGAGAAGGAAGGCAGTGCTGGGGGCGGAGGATCCGCCTCTTGATTTGGGTCTCCCCTTCCCCTTCCTTCTTCCCCTACCTTCATCTCACAAGTTGGGCCTTGAGGTTTGGTTCCCTGGTTGAGGTCAGGGGAGACAGCGGGTCCCCCTTACTTTCTCAGTAACAGTAACCCCAGATATGTCACACTTTCTTGTCACCCAGCGGTGACAGCTGGGCCTGCTATTTCATTTAATTCTCACAAGTAGC